GAAATATAATGCCTTATTGTTGCAACTGTGTGAGATTGTAACATTTTAGAGAAGCCCACTGCAAAAACAAAGTCATGGCAAGTTAAAATGTTGTCTCTGATTGTTGATTTGAGCTGGGAAATGACTGCCAAAGGAAATAGATATGATTACTTAAAGCTGAGGAACCTAACTTTTCAAATAGAGCTATGTAATTATCCATCTAACTGGTTCCTTGCTCTCAAAACAGTTTGGATCCATGACTAGTTTTCTCATGCATGCATTTTTGGCCTCTGACACATTGTTCGATCAGATTTTTCAGTCAGAAAAGTGAAAAAAAAAGCGCTCCATCCTCACTCAGCCAATCAGCTCTCAGCTCAGTGTTTCAAAAAGTGACTCAGAGATATTTCTTACAATTCCTCAAAAAATAACTGGTTTTCTAATACAATACAAATAGTATGTTGTGGTCTGATTTGTTCTTTTTTACAAGGCTCTTTCTGTTGGAAAATAAATAAACAACACTTTTTTTTTTCTGATTGAGATCCCTGTCAGAAACGATCTGTAAATACTTACTTTTGTCACTTCATTTTGTCTCCCATTGAGTTTCTTCTCAGTTGTTCCTTGCTGATTCATGAGGGTCTAAGGACAGTGATGATCCAGGACATTTAAAGACATTTTTGGACATTGCTCTTCCCGTTTTCCATATGGACCAATGGCTCCTACGTGTTTGTTATTATTGCATTTGGACTGTTTGATTCTCTGATCTGTTGTTGGTGAATCGACAACTCTATAAAGTCCTTGTGATTTCGTGATTGAATGAACTAGTGGGAAAATGCCACGTAATACTGCTGAACATGACATTTATATACACTCTGGAAATAAACTGAATTTTCATCCTAAAAGTTGGATCTTTGGTTGAGAAGTGTCTCGTTTCATTTCATGTGTTTGTTAATTTTACATTGGGTGATCTTCGGATAACTAATATTGATCCCACACTCGTTTCAGCTTTTGTATCTGCAAAATCACTTTCCGAGTTCATGTCATGAGTTCTAAAGACACAATATGTATTATCCAGCAGGTATCTGCATCAACACAAGCTTTGGGACGAAGTATCAATATCAGATCCCCAAAGTAAAGTCAGTAAACATTAATCAAAAAAGAATGCTGTGTGTGTGTGTGTTCGCTCGCAGTGTCTAATCTGAGTTAAGCCCTGGTGACATCTTCTTTAATCTTGTATTTGGGTTAGTCCTCACCTTCTAAGTTTTTTGCACATACGGTATATTTGTTGAGAAATCTGCAATAATAGAATTTAAGAAGGTTCTTGATGATACCCCTTTTTTGGTTCCAATTTAAATTGATTGTTCAAATGCATTGAAGTTTATTGATTTCATTGATTGATTTGACCCAAATCTTATGAGCAAAATCTGGTTTGGACGTTCACAAATGGTTGGATTTGAGCTATAGTCTGTTTTAGTGTCTACTTTTGCTGTTACGAACAGCACGGTGGTGCAGTGGTTAGCGATTGTGATTCACAGTTAAAAGGTCCTGAGTTCCCCGACCCCTAAAATCATGTACTTCCTGTACCAGTGACCCCACATGCATTACTGTCTAGAGTGAGAGAAAACCCATTCATTCATTTATTTATTCATTCATTCATTTTCTACCCCTTTATTAATCCATTTCTGGGGTGGTAATGAGAGCTGCCACCCAATGCTCATAGAATCAGAATCAGATCAGAATCATTTTTATTGCCAACGTAAGTAACGGGAGGTCACAGACTTGGAAATTGCTTTGGCTCAGTGCAACAGTCAAAAAGAGATAATAAAAATAAGAATAAAAAACACTTCTAAAGAATAAATTTAAATTTAAAATAGAGTTACAGTTACTATTTACAATATACAAGTGCACATGGTGCACACAATGTAAGGTGACAGCAGTACAGTGAAGTAAAGTGACGTATGATGGGCAGTAAAGTGACTTTATAAAGGGCGGGGGGACAGGTTAAGAAGTGTTCAAGAGTCCAACAGCAGAGGGGAAGAAACTGTTCTTGTGGCGGGAGGTTCTAGTCCTGATGGACCGCAGCCTCCTGCCTGAGGGGAGTGGTTGGAATAGTCCATGTGCAGGGTGAGAGGGGTCGGCTGTGATACGACCAGCCCGGCCTCGAGCTCGGGCGACGTACAGGTCCTGCAGCGATGGAAGGCTGCGGCCAATCACTTCCTCTGCAGAGCGCACAATGCGCTTTAGTCTCTGTTTGTCCCTGACTGTGGCTCCAGCAAACCACACGGTGACGGAGGAGGTGAGGATGGACTCGATGATGGCCGTGTAGAACTGCACCAACATCTGTGCAGGCAGCTTGGCTTTCCTGAGCTGCCGCAGGAAGTACATCCTCTGCTGGGCCTTCTTGATGAGGGAGCTGATGGTCGGCTCCCACTTGAGGTCCTGGGTGATGGTGGTGCCCAGGAAACGGAAGGACTCCACAGAGGTGATGGGGGAGTCCATCACGGAGGGTGGGGGCGGGGGGACAGTGCTCTTCCTGAAGTCCACAATCATCTCCACTGTCTTCTGGGCGTTCAGCTCCAGGTTGTTACCACTGCACCAGGACACCAGCCGGTCCACCTCCCTCCTGTAGGCGGACTCATCGTTGTTGGAGATGAGTCCAATGAGGGTGGTGTCGTCCGCGAACTTGATCAGCTTCACGGAGTCGTGGCTGGAGGTGCAGTGGTTGGTGTACAGGGAGAAGAGCACAGCCCTGTGGGGCTCCTGTATTTATAATCCGAGAGTCCGAGACATTCTTCCCCAGACGCACTCGCTGCTTCCTGTCCGTCAGGAAGTCAATGATCCACCTGCAGGTGGAATCGGGCACGTTGAGCTGGGAGAGCTTGTCCTGGAGCAGGGATGGCAGGGATTGTGTTGAAGGCAGAGCTGAAGTCCACGAACAGGACCCTGGCGTAGGTCCCCGGGGAGTCCAGGTGCTGTAGGATGTGGTGGAGGGCCAGGTTAATGGCGTCGTCTACAGATCTGTTGGCTCTGTAGGCGAACTGCAGGGGGTCCAGGAGGGGGGAGGTGAGGGACTTGAGATGGGAGAGAACCAGGCGTTCAAATGACTTCATGACGACAGACGTAAGTGCTACAGGTCTGTAGTCATTGAGTCCTGTGATCCTGGGCTTCTTCGGGACGGGGACAATGATGGAGGATTTGAAGCAGGCCGGGACATGGCAGGACTGCAGAGAGGAGTTGAAAATGTCCGTGAACACAGGAGTAAGCTCACTGGCGCAGTGTCTCAGAGTGGCCGGAGACACGTGGTCCGGGCCAGGAGCTTTGCGGGGGTGCAGCCTCAGGAAGAGTTGTTTAATCTCTTTAGCGGCTATTGTTAGGCTGGGGGCAGGGCTGATGGGTGGGTCGTTAGAGTAGTGGGGGGTGGGGGAGGGAGAGGTGTCAGGGGCAGCATCAAAGCGACTGAAAAATAAGTTCAGATCGTCAGCTAGCTTGTGGTCATCAGCACAGGGGGGGGCTTTGGGTTTGTAGTTGGTGATCTCCCGTAGGCCCCTCCAGACAGAAGCAGTATCGTTGTTACCAAACTGCTCCTGTAGTCGTTCTCTGTGCCGGGACTTGGCTGCTTTCAGTTCTTTCCTGAACTGATATTTAGCTGCTTTGTAGCCGCTGCGGTCCCCCTCCCTGAAAGCAGACTCCTTTGCTTTCCTGAGCTGCCGGAGTTTAGCAGTGAACCAGGGTTTGTCGTTGTTATAGATGACCCTGGTCCTTGTTGGAATGATGCTATCCTCACAGAAGTGGATGTATGACGTCACAGTGTCCGTATATTCATCCAAGCTGTCTGTGGCAGCTCTGAAAAGGTCCCAGTCTGTAGATTCCATGCATGCGCGCAGCTCTTCCACAGCTTCATCAGACCACACTTTGGAGCTCCTCACTGCAGGTTTCGAGAGCTTTAGTCTCTGTCTGTAAGCAGGAACCAGATGTATCATGGAGTGATCTGAGAAGCCGAGGGCTGGCTTGGGAACAGCGCGAAAAGCTCCGCGCACGGTGGTGTAACAGTGATCCAGAGTGTTCTCCTCTCTGGTCGGGCATTTGATAAACTGTCTGTATTTGGGTAATTCCTGGCTCAAGTTTCCCTTATTAAAATCCCCCAGGATAATAATCAGAGAGTCCGGGTATAAGCGTTCCATACACAGTACTTGCTCTGCGAGTGCGCGCTGAGCCTCGCGCGCGTACGTGCATGGCGGTATGTAAACAGAGGCAAGAATGAATGAAACAATTTCCCGCGGGGAGTAATATGGTTTACAATGAATGAAAAGATATTCCAGAGCACCAGTCCCTCGCTGATCCTCTGCAGGTGGCGAGTCCACAGGAAGATGGCTGCTACGGCCTGTGAAGCCACAGCCTTGGTGCTTCAGCGGGAGCTTCAGGCAACGTGGGGTTAAGTTTATTGCCCAAGGACACAAGGACAGCAAACATTAGTGGAAGCAGTTGGAGTAGGTCCTGTGGTGGGCTCGAACTCACAATGGCCAATGCTCTACCAACTGAGCTACTTTCCCCTCTCTCCCCATCCCCTACCACTAAAAACATTCACACAATAATTGTAAAAAAGAAACTCTGTCTGTTGAAAAGCGCTATATAGATAAAGATAACTTCCTTGCTATACTTGATAAGGTGTGATGGTACGTTTGGTCCAGCGCAGACACTCATTATAAACTAACCCTAATGTAGAATTATGTATTTGTGCTGCAGAGAGCAAAAGACACATGAGTAAGGCTGTTCCCAAACGGTCTTAAACTAATAAATACTGCTTATCTCCAGAATGTTGATCAATAGTTTGGTCATGTGTACGATTGGCTGTTGGATTAGACTTTATTGCTCCTAAATGACTGACCCACATGCAGACTGGTCTGACTGGCTTCGGGGCATAGACGAATTGAGTTAGAATGATTGTTTAGCTCAGCATGAACAAGGGTTGCGTTTTGTTTTAAAATAACGACTTAATGATGTTGTTTTTGAATGTGTTTTTGCAGGAAGCCATCAGGCCACGCAGATAAGGAGGTGATGGCTGCAACCGTCCTGACCTCTCTGTCCACTTCACCAATGGTGCTCCAGCCTTCCTCTGCTCCGACAGGTAACAGCGGACACAGCAATCTCTCTCCAACACATTCCCTTTAATCACATTATTGATCATGTTTCTGTGGCGTCCATCATTAATTGTGTGTCTAGTTGATTATCCCCACTTAGACATATTTCAAAATTATGCATATTTTGCATTTATTTTATTTTCTGTACTGATAATGTTCTTTATCACGTGACAGGTACTGACTACATTTAAATAAAGTAATTTTGTAACTAATAACCGTCGATTTATACGAGTCAGTAAAGTCTACTTAACTTTGATATTTCGGTGGAAGGCTGCGTATTTGACTACGTGCTGATATTTCCCTCTCTTGTTTATGACCTTCTTGCCACTTAACTCCAGGTAGACGTTCTTGTGTGAAAATGGCTTGAGTTAAAGGGTAAATACATTATTTTTCTGACCTAAATGTTCTCACTTCACTGTCAATTGCCTCATTCTTACTGCGCAACAACACAGGAATTTTGATGCGCTTTCCTGGCATGTCAGAACGACTCGGTATTCAACCGGCCTTGCGACCTTGTCTTTTTGCCTTGTCTTTTCTCTGACCAAATATTACAATATTAACAGCAATAAACCCGATTTATAGCCCGTTTCTTACATGTAGGTCAGTTTAAGGTTATAAAACGACACATAAGTCACAAAAGGGACAATACTCTGCTTTTTCCTTTATAAAGTTTATAAAGTACATATATTTTACTCATATGTATCCGTATATGAAAATTAGGGGTGTCACAACCTAAATGTTGTATCAAAATTGATTGAAATGACTCAATGGTCTCGAGTGTCTGTGTGCGTCTGTGCCATGGATGTATTATAATGTTGCATCTGTGTGCGCGTGCCCAGAATGGTCGTGGTTAAGTAAAAGTATATGGTTGGAAATCGTAAATTTTGCTTTTGAACCCCTTTTCTGCATGTGTACAGACAAACGAATGAAACAAAGTCTTGATACAATCACAGAGTTATTAAAAACAAAAGTAAAGTGCAAAACCAACAATTTACGTACGTACTAGGGGTGGGCGATATGGCCTAAAATTCATATTGCGGTATAATTTGGGACACAGACGGTAGACGGTATATATTGCGGTATAATTTGGTGTGAATTTCAATATAGGTCTAGCAGGTTCTTGCATAAAATAGTCAAGATTGTTACTTATTTATATATTAGAATCTAATATATATATTTTTTTAGTTATTCAGTGAGACGAATAAAGAGACAAATGTTGTAACATACATTATTTATGTATGTTACAGTAAATACCGTTCACTGTAAAAGCAATTTTTAAAAAGAAAAACATGTGCATTCATTTAAAATATAAAAAACTCACAAATGTTGAAATCAAAGTCTGTAGGAGTTAGACATGGTCATTATTTATAGTGTCTGAGAGTTTTGTGCAGGTACATGACTTCAGTAAAAGCTATTGTTCGTTTACAAAGCTGGTCTTGCCATTTGTTGACGCTCCCTAAGCGCTTTTCTCTGCGCTTGCAGTGAACTGGATGATTCAATGGATTTATGTTCATTAAAACAGCGCATTGGATTTGAACAATTGATGTAAATGATCATTTTGGCACAATAAATTTTGTTTAACAAAGTAGCTTTCGTGAGATATTGACCGCGGAGGTCCGAATCTGACGCTAACTTTCCCAAACTTCTTAAACAACATTAAACAAACATTAAACATTAAACATTAAACAAACATTAAAACAGCGCATTGGATTTGAACAATTGATGTAAATGATCATTTTGGCACAATAAATTTTGTTTAACAAAGTAGCTTTCGTGAGATATTGACCGCGGAGGTCCGAATCTGACGCTAACTTTCCCAAACTTCTGCTGTGATGCTGTGGACACGGCACACGCATGGATCTATTTTGACTCACACTGGCGCTTCGAGCCTACGCCCCTTTGACACTGATTGGCCAAAAGGTAGACGCTTAAACTGTGATTACTGTGTGTGTATTTACCTCTGCTGGGGCCGCTGTGACAACAATACATAGACAGAAACACGGTGTTAATGCCGTGCTGTTGTTTGTTGTTTCCAGTGGTGTCTGCTAGGCTAATAGTGCTAGGCTAATGCTGCTGAATGCCGGTTTGTTTTGGTCCTTTCTGCTGGCGTCAGAGCCTGCGCAATTTGATGACATAATGACCTATCGCAATATGCCGGTATAACAAAAATCTCTACCGTGGGCCAAATTTATATCGCATACCGCTTATACCGTTTATATCGCCCAGCCCTAGTACGTACTGTATGTATCGAGACCAGGTCCAGATTTCAATGCAAAAATGTAATGTATTCAATATCCGTGATGATGTGGAAAACACATAATAACATATAATTAAAAAAATACTTAATTATGATTTGATTCCCTGAGATAAGGTGTAAAAAACAACCAGATTAAAGTAATTTTGATCTTGTTTTTTATATATTTTTTTTACATTGGATTGGTGGCACACAATCACACCTTTTGGATTTAAATAGATCACAGCTTGAAAAGGAAAATGATTGAATAAATAAACTTCTGTTGATTACAAAGGGATTCCCAGAGGTCATGTGTTCACGGAGCAGCAAGTTTAGAAGACTTATTTAGAAAGTGTGTTTTGACACTTTAATTTGGCTGGTTTTAATTAAGATAAAAGATTCAAGCAATTATGACCTAATATTTTATAATATTTTGCAGGGATGAATGTTGGGTGGAAAAACATCATGAATATTAGAACACACACATAACAAGTACATTTGCTGTGATTAATGTTGTGGATGAAATGTGGTGTTTTCACAGTCCCAGAAGCAGCGAACAGAGGATGGAAAGAGGTGCTCTCTGCCAGCTACAGCAGCTCCACCAGCGGAAACTGGAGCTGGGACGCCAGCGACCAATCAGTGCCCTCCACACCGTCGCCACCTCTCTCCAACGACAGCAACAAGAACTTCCTGCTCTCGTCCAACAATGATGACATCAGCGACGACATCCACGAGAGCACGCACTTCATGTTTGAGGACCCCATCCCCAGGAAACGAAAGGTGAACTTACTGTATTACTGTACCCATTCAAAGAAATAAATAAACAAAATTATATATTTTGGGATTTACTAAAATGTGACATATACAGATTATTAGGTTATTTGGTAATCTTGATTCTTACGGTCCCAATATAATCGCACAAACTGTAAAAAACAAATACGTTTTTTTTATTTTAATGGTCTATTTACTTGGTATTTTACTGTTTTAGAAGGTGAAATAATATCTTAAGTAGAGAATATTTGCTGAAACAAGTATGAAGGGTAAGAAAAAAGCTTTCGGCCTGTAAGTCCCTATGCTACCACCAGAGGGAGGGGGTTAAAGTTGTACATTGTAAATTTATTGTAAAGAACATACCTTTTCCCTTGAGAAATTGCCAAAACCAGGAGCAATAAGGTAGGGGCAATACTCTTGTTTTAAAATGTAGAAAACTGCTCCAAGTATGATGTCATAGTGATACAATGACATCATCAATGACAGAGGACGGAGAAAAGAGATTTTAGGCAGAAGGGGCGGAGTTACCTGTTTGTTCCAGAAGTTACTGATATTAGCGTGGATGGATCTAAAAACAACTCTAGATCTTAGTTGAATCAATTTGCATAATGAGGTTTGCTAAAATGTACAATTTATTTATGTTTAATGTTGTATGCTTGAATCAACATAATTATACCATCTTAAAGCACTTCTGAACTTGGAAGATAAAATGTATCACGTTAGACAATTGAAAAGATACAGTTCTTTTTGGGCTGTAATTGCAAATATTTTTTTTAATATTGCTCCCAACATGCATTACTAAAATACAGTGATTTGATTGGATGAGAGAGCTCAGGCGATAAGTGAAGAAACCCTTTGTGCAGTAGCTTCCATCTCGACCGGAGCTGGCCGCGGTTTAAGGTTGTGGTCAGTTATTAGAATTTGATGGTCTCTTGATTCAGACGGGAATGAAGTGGATTAGAGACCATCTGTTTTTTGGGAGAACAAACAAACACAATATCCACATTGTTTGATCGGTGGCACACAATCACATCTTTGCCTTTTGAATATAGCAGCTCTTTCTAAAACAGAAGTACGTGGCATGAAATGAGCTCGTCGTCCTAGTTTAAAAAGTAAAGTCTGTGCAAATAGATGGGCGGCTCAGTGGATAGAACTCTCGCTTCTCAGCAAGAAGGTTCTGAGTTTGAATCCCGGTCGGAACCAGGGCCTTTCTGAGTGGAGTTTGCATGTAGGTATCTTCTGGGTGTTTCAGTTTACCCTATCATTAAAAACATGTACAATCCCACTGTGGGACGAATAAAGGAAGTTCTTCTTCTTAGCTCAGGGTGAATGAGTGTGTGTTTGTGAGTGCAAATGTGGGACAAAGGATGCAAATTAGGCCAAGGCTACAATCTGGAGAGGTGTGTTCATTATTTACCATGCACTGTCCAAACAAATCAACAATAATAACCTTTACAGTTCATACCATCTTCAATTTTTTTTTACCGTCATTCCGGTAGGGCAAGTTTGTTTGTATAGCACATGTCATACATTCATACAATACAATACAATACGATACATACATTCATACAAAACAAGAAAAGAAACATTACAATCATTTACCAAATGTATACAATGTTTATTATCATCAACAGTTGTCAACTAATATAGTATTTTTTTCTGAATTATTAACAGATATAAATTGTTATTAATACTGTATACATAGATTTGTGACACAGACAAAGCTGTAAGCACTGGGGACTACAATATAGGAATATGTAAAAATATACTTATACAATCAGATAATAGGGTAGCAGGATGACAAATGTCCATAAATGTTGTTCTGGATCACCAACTGTCTCCTGCATTGGCAAGAAGAAGTAAAAACCCCAGTGGGAATAAATGGATTTTTGACACAAACAAGACAATCCGTCCACATTGTGTATAAAAGCCCCACATGGCCGTGACATTACTATGACACAGTGACACAGCTGCGGTCTGCTGGTTCCTGCAGCTGTTCCATTGCCGTCCGCTCAGCTTTATGTGTAACTCTGCTCCTGTTCCCTGACTCACACTTCAGAACCACTGACCCACATTTTTTACAGTACAACCAGCTATTGTCAACATCATCAAAAACAAGAAATATTCACTGCAAAAAGTGATGAAGAATAAGTCAAAAATTGCTCAAACTTTGCAAAATGTATCTTAACTTGAGCACAATGTGTCTTAAAACAATATTTTCAAATGGGACGAACAAAATCATGTTGTTTTTCAAAAGAAACAAAGAAATGACAAGAAAATAAAGCAACAGTTCTGAATAACAGAAATCGTCCCATGGGCAAATCTTGTTTTAAGTCAGGATGAACTAAAATTAAGATAAAATACTTGATTCAAGCGTTTATTCCTTCATATTTTACCATTTTTTGGCAGAATCCAGTTCAGTATTCAGCGTACATGACACTCACAATATGTTGCATCTTACTTCTCTTTTCGCCACAGGATATGTCAACATTCTTCCATTCCCCGTTTGTCAGAGCTAAAGCGAGGGATTTGAGGGGAAAGGAAAATGTTTTTTGGCGCTAGATACAGTAGATGAAATGTGCGTTATTACCTCGAGCTACAGAATGACAAAGTAGCGCTCTGAAACAATATGTGTGAGTGCGGGGCTCACTCTCCCTGGAGCCGTGCGGAAGAGGGAGTTATTGATTTGCCAAAAAGTTCAGAAACTAAAAAATTATTGCGATGGATTTCAGTCTTGGATACATTGTCATTATGGTTTGGAATCGCCCTCCACTCCGACAAATTATAAGACTTCGATGCCTTGGACTCCCACATTTTGGACAGAGTTGAAATACAGAGGTGGGGACTAGCTTGTGCCGAGAAGTTCAGAATATTAACGCAAGCAAAGGAAAGGCAAGTTTATTTGTATAGGCAACTTTCCTAAACAGGGAAAGTCAAAAGTTCTGAACAAACCAAGAGCGGCAACATTCAAGTCATAAAGCCAAAATCTTAAAACGAATCATTTTAAATTATTTGAAAATACAATCCTTTATATGCACAACTAAAAACTACATAAATCTGGATTTTACATCAGTGACACAGACATCACTGTCTCACATTTTCAGGAATACGGCTAGACACAATATTTTAAACATACATTATAGATGGTGTAAAGTCAATGCACATGATGTCCATAATAATCCATGTGTTTACGATTTTCTAGCAGATTCTCAAAGCAGAGCAGAATGAGGCTCTCATTTGGGTTTTAGGTAAATCAGCCCTATCTCTTAAAAACATTATTTACATGTTTTCCTCTAATTGGCATTTGTTGATAGCAAGCTACCACTTTCTCCTATTGCCTTAATGCTCTCTGTAAAACAAGAACAGTCACATGTGTTTGACTCAGAGCTTTTCAGAAACAGAGAAAACATCATAAAACCACTAATACAAGGAAAGCCAACATTTTGGATTTGTGCCTCTAAAGACAAATCTGTGCTTAATTACTTATTGCAAGCTTTAACAAAGACACATCTATTGCAGCTGTGGCTTTCACTGAAGCTCGTTTGATTTTCTGCGAGCATTAGTGTAAGAGGATTAATAAACGCCATCGCCGCTGTAACTGTACTAAATTGCCGCATCTCTTGTGAATTTAAGTCATTTATGATTGCAGGATTAAGATTAGCTTTACTTTTAATGTCTTTCTTTTTTCCCAACACCTAAACCGCAAAAACCGTAGTAAATGTCAAGTTACGTGCATGCTAGTGGTTTGGATAATTACTCTTTCAGCCTCGTGAAGTACAATTGTGTGCTGACGCTGAAGGGATTTTCTCTCTACAACTTTGCTCTGTCAGAAGTGTCAGGGAAAGTGAAACATATCCATTCACAGAAAACCTGTTCCTCCCATTGAGCGGCTTCTTGTCTTGACGCTGCTGTTTACCGTACCGCTCTGCGCCTCACGTCTCGTCTTGCCTTTCTCTCACCTGTGCTGGTTGAAAGGTGATTGCTATACACACCCAATCCTTCACTATCAGCGCTGCAGGTCTGTGCCTGTCTGTGGGGGCCGCAGCCAACACCTCTGCCACGGGAAGATGGCTGCTGCTTTGACGAAGACACGGCCTTGGTGTTTCAGCTGGGGCTTAAGTGTCTTGCCCAGGAACACAACGACAGCAGACATCAGTGGGAGCAGATGACATGGGTCGTGCGGAGACCGAACCCACGACCGTTAGGTTCAGAGACCAACGCTCTACCAACTGAGCCTCTGTCGCCCCTATTAATGGTTCTCATATATTTCCTCATAGCACATAACATACGTCTCAACGCACGGAGGACAGAGGTCAAGACACCGCCGCTCATCAATCTGTCGCCTTTGTGCAGGGCGACCGAGACCGTGGAGAGTCCGGTTTCATTGTCCGCTGCTCTGGCCACGTATTGAGCTCATGCGTTTATTGCTTAGTCGTTGCAATGAGGCGTAGTATGAAGCCAACGCAGACGATCACTCAGGAAGCTTGTTACGAGGTCACTTTTAGTTTTTCGGTTGTTCCTAATATCTCCTGCACAAAAGAGACAATATTTGTAAACTTTAACATGTTTGCTCACTTCCTGTCTTTTTGGACACCCTGAGTGATTGCCGAGTGTGACATGTACATTTCTCCATTGTGAGATCAATAAAGTTTGTCTTATCTTGTCAAAAGGATCATTACTCGATTATTGTCGTTAAAGTTAAATTTAGAGACTGCGATTGTGGGTCTGTTTTTCCATCTCCTAAATTCATTGTTTTGGAGAAAGAACTGAGTCGGGGACAAACAGCACATGTCCTTACCACTCTTCATTTAATTAAACAATAGAACTTAAATTAAACATCGTTTGTGGGAAGCAGGGCTGGGAGAGATAATACTGTTCTCTTTGTTGATGTTTAATAAATGCATTTAGTTTGTCCCAACAGAAGAGGGTCTTGTAAAAAAGGGACATTTTGTGAACACATCAGAACACCAAATGCTGTATTTATCATTTTAGATTAAACAGTATTTTTTTTACATTCTTAGAGCTGATTGGGTGAGTGAGATTGATCCTTTCCTCTTCACTTTTTTGTCTGAAAAAGTCGATCCAGATACCAAAAAATACATGTTAGTGAAAAGTAGAGACTACAGCGAACTGCGACTGTATTCTCTACTCTATTACATAGTTGTTTTTTTAATGTCTTTAGAAAGATTTTAAGATTGAATGAGCACTTCTATTACATTATATTCTTATTGTGACATTTCCTTCTCATATTGTGACATATGTTTTGGCCATTTTGTCCAACCCAAATAAGAAGCCAGGTTTTTGTATAAAAGTGTCCTTGAGCAATCCTGGTTCTTTGGAGCCTAAAGGGTTGATTGTTAGCCACTGCCTGTGCACAACTATATAGTACATTTCAATGAGAAAATTAGTAAACAAATCATGGTTTTTGTTGTGTCTTTGTCCCCCAAGCGCCCAGTGGGACTTGTGACCCATCTGAGTTGGGATGATCCTAAACAGCCTAATATTGTAAGTCAGCAGGGATATTATCTAATGTTTACGTATGTTTTTCCTGTGTTCTTTTGGCCACAGAACTCCATGAAGGTGATGTTCAAATGCTTGTGGAAGAACTGTGAAAAAGTCCTCAGCACCTCCTCAGGGATCCAGCGACACATCCGCACCATGCACCTCGGGTTTGTGACACCACTTCTATTTTCATGTATTATTATTTTTCATTAGTTTATTCGGAAGGGACATTCACTTTAAATGTTGAATACCAAAACTAACCTGGATCATTTCTTGAGTTATTTTAGAATATCCATCCATTTCTGGGTCAGGGGGGTGGCAGTCAGAGATGCCACCAAAGTCTCATAGCACCAGCCTCTCACTGACCCTCTGCAGGTGGTGAGTCGGCTGCTCTCTGAGTGTGAGCATAGCCTTGATCTTTCAGTGGGGGCTTTGGGCAAAGTGGGGCTAAGTTGCTGTCGTTGCACAACGACAGCAGTCAGCAGTGGGAGTCGATGGAGAAGGTGGGAATTGAACCCACAACCTGCTGGCCTAAAGGCCAATGCTCTACCAACTGAGCTACTGTCGATATATTTTAGAATATATTATTGTAAAACTTCACAGCCGATTGTGTATTTATCACATTGAGTGAAGGGAGAGAAACCAGGCCTTCTGCTGTTCTTCATAGAGACATCAGCTCCTCATTAGCTGTGTGTGTGTCAGCTCTAATGCAGCAGAGTCGACTTCGCTGCCCTCTGGTGGTGGATAAAATACTGCAGTTAAATAATGGAAGGTTTTTATTTTTATTTTTTTATTTTTTTTAGAAGCAAGTCACTGCAGCTGCCAAAAAAAACAATATAAGTAGTTAAGATTACCATTAAGATCACTAGTAGGCCTGACATGATAATTAGTGAATTGGATGTAATTTAACGTGATTATTGAAAGTTATTAGTAGCAATATGAGGGGCAAAATGTGGATGTCGTCTTGTCACTACATTACTACTTTGGAATAACGTTTCTTTGTTCTGTGTGACAATAGCCTTTAGTTTGAGCTGTTTTGTGATTCACATGATTGGATTTCAATGTTGTAGTTTACAGCAAAATCTCTTAAGCAATACGTTCAGACAAGGATGACAAATCCTTTTTTATTCTCTATTTAACCAGAATAGAAGAATTTTTTTTCCCAAGGGAGTTCTGGTCCCATTGGTTCTGATTTCCTCTATCATTAAAAACATGTGCAATAATTCCACTTAACACCCTCTCTGACCCCATTCCCGCCCCCTCTCTCTGGGGCCAGGACGCCTCTGTAAAGGAGATTCTGAAACCTCTGTGGAACTTTTGTTGTTAAATAAAGGTCAATAAACGTTGTTATGGACAGAGCGGTTTCTGCCTCTTGTATTGAAAGAAAAAACCTTTCGCAGTCTGAAGTATTGCCTCTAAATCCTTGTATCTATGGAGGACCAAAAATGACTAAAGTATAAATAAATAAATACATAAATAAATACAGGAATATATTAATAAATACATTCATTTTGGACAATAAAAACTAAATATTTACATTGATGTGTTAAATATTACTATGAAATCAAATAAATATACTTTTATTTAGGTTATTTATCAATATCTACATTTTGTCCTTTATTTATTTATCCATTTATTGCATATATTTATTTATGTATTTCTACATTTCTTCATTTATTTATTTATGTATTTCTACATTTCTTCATTTATTTATTTATGTATTTCTACATTTCTTCATTTATTTATTTATGTATTTATGTGTCGCTACATTTCTTCATTTATCTATTTATGTATTTCTACATTTCTTCATTTATTTATTTATGTATTTCTACATTTCTTCATTTATTTATTTATGTATTTCTACATTTCTTCATTTATTTATTTATGTATTTCTGTGTTGCCGTATGCTAATTAGGTGGGCGGTGCTGAACTCAATGATTGGTGGGCAGTAGGGCAACCAGACAGAAGCAAAGTTAAGCCTAGCGTACATCGACAGAGAAACTGGGGACAACTAGTTGTAAGGCGGCTTTTGGCAACTGAGAGTAGATGATGGAGATGATCAGTTGCCAAAATCGGTCGATGTGAGCGCTCTTACAACTGGAGATGAGCAGTCGGTCTCCAGTTTCAGTCAGTTGCCCGTGTTCTACTTTTCGGCAACTAGTTGTCCTCAGTTTTTGAGACATGACCCGATGTGCGCGCTCCATGCGCCGCTCCGACAACCTGTGTGTATTGCGTGTGTTGCGAGCCCGCAACAGTTTATGTCAGAGAACACACTGTAGTTGAGGCCAGTTGCTGTCGATGTACGCGCTGTTATTCCCGAGACTGGTCTGCTACTGGGAGTTGCCCGTTTTCGTCAGATTGTCGATGTGTGCGGGGCAGCAACTCATATGCGACGGATATAATCAGTTGCCAGTCTGATGTACGCTAAGCTTTAGCCTTCTCGGTTTGTGAGAGGATGTGAAGCTGCTGTATAGCTTGTTGAAGAGCGTCCAGCACAGTTGCATCAAAGTCTACCTCTGGGTCAGCACTGTGATGAACTAAAACATCTAATAGTCTTTTCAGCCGAAAGAGTAGATAGTCCTCAGGTGCATTATGCTCAACATCATTAACATAATTTGCTAATGCTCTTAATTGATGAGCAACGGCTCCTAAAAAACTTACATTCGAAACTGCCATCATACCACACAAAAGTGCACGGAGGATCTCTAGCTAGCTAACAGAGTACCGTAATGTGAGGCAGTAATGATCGAGACCAGAGTTCACGCAATCGTAACCAATCCTGTTCTAGATTGAGTTCAGCACCGCCCACCTAATTAGCATACAGGAACACAGAAATACATAAATAAATAAATGAAGAAATGTAGAAATACATAAATAAATAAATGAAGAAATGTAGCGACACAGAAATACATAAATAAATAAATGAAGAAATGTAGAAATACATAAATAAATGAATGAAGAAATGTAGAAATACATAAATAAATAAATGAAGAAATGTAGAAATACATAAATAAATAAATGAAGAAATGTAGCGACACAGAAATACATAAATAAATAAATGAAGAAATGTAGAAATACATAAATAAATGAATGAAGAAATGTAGAAATACATAAATAAATAAATGAAGAAATGTAGAAATACATAAATAAATAAATGAAGAAATGTAGAATACATAAATAAATAAATGAAGAAATGTAGAAATACATAAATAAATATATGCAATAAATGGATAAATAAATAAAGGAAAAAATGTAGATATTGATAAATAACCTAAATAAAAGTATATTTATTTGATTTCAGAGTAATATTTAGCATATCAATGTAAATATTTAGTTTTTATTGTCCAAAATGAATGTATTTATTAATATATTCCTGTATTTATTTATTTATTTATTTATTTATTTATACTTTAGTCATTTTTGGTCCTCCATATGTATCATCCATCAAATTTAATGTTATCTACATCTGCGAGCCTTCATTTAGGCCATGTAGATTCATACTTGTACTTCTAGATTTAAGAGACAATTCCACTTAAAATATTAATTAATATTCTTGTGTTGGAGAGATATTTATGATTGTGTATTTATGTTAAATTTTGTGTCTATGCATGTAGAATGAAAGACGTGATCAAAAATTGAAAGTAAATACTCTCAGTTTTAAGTTAGAGGTGAAAAATCACACACACTGTAAATAATAAAAATAAAAAAATACATTTTACTGGGCGAGAGTGGCTCAGTTGGTAGAGCATAAGCCTTAGGGCCTGAAAGTTGTGGGTTCGAGCCCACCACAAGACCTACCCCACGACTCCCACTGATGTCTGCTCTCGTTGTGTCCTTGGGCAAGACACCTAACCCCACTTTGCCTGAAGCCTGGTGCTATGTGTACTGGGTGCAGCTCTGACTGCCACCCCCCCGACCCAGAAATGGATAAAGGGGAAGAAAATTGATGGATGGTCTTTCTAAATAAATCATATTGTAGATACATCACAAGTAAAAAGTACATTTAGTTAAAATACAACCTAAATTTGTAAAATATGTGGTAGTGACATTAAAGTATAACTTACCTCTCCTCATTTCCTCGTACATGTCCTCTCTATATCCTTGAGTCTTGAACATGTTGGCTTTCCTCTTTCGCTTTGTCCAGCCGTAACAGTGACTCCGACTACAGCGACGGCGAGGAGGACTTCTACTACTCCGAGATCGAGGTGAACATGGACAGTCTGACCGAGGGCCTGTCCAGCCTCACGCCCACCTCCCCCACCACGACCGCTCCTCCGCCGGTCTTCCCTTCGCTGCTTGTCGACGTCCCGCACTCGGAACACATTGAGGTGACCGGCCCGCACAGCCACGCCCCCTCACTGCTCAGCCAATCAGCTCCTTCCACCCTCTGCCACATCCGCACGGACCACGCCTACCAGGTATCCCGCTCACTTCTACCTTTAAAAGTACAGGAACTAGGTCGGATCAAAAATAGATAATCACTTTAGATTAGAATGAGTGGATACAGTCTTTTATTAACTTTTAACCTGGATTTGAACATTGTCAGAGTAGAAGCCATATGTTAGCATATTTTGGCATTACAGTTTCACAAATTTTAATTCAGTTTAATTTTATATAGCCCTAAATCACAACAGTTGTTACCTCGGAGGACTTTGATCTGTGTTGCGAATTTGACGGTTTTTCAGAGAATCAAGCGTAAATGATAGATGATAGAAAACACATGACGCCATTGATCCATACAATGTACATACATTAATTGAAGTTATATAAGGTCTAAGATTTGACTTCTAATGATGTGGTAGAGTTTTAGAATACATCAAAAGTAGGTTATTTTTGTGAAAAAATTGAAAATAGAGCACACATACCATCAAGTTTTAGGGGCCAATAACATGGTCCTGCAGGCGGGATTTGGCCCACAAGCCTTAGTTTGACATAATGCCTCAGACCCTCCTTATACACAAAGACACAAAACTTGATCAAAAATCAACAAAAATAAGCATGATTTCCCAATAAGCTATACCTTCAGTACAACAGTATAGAATCTCTATATGCGATAACTTGAGCTCTTGTAGGTCCGCACCAGAACGCTGCTATAAACCCACACACAACCAAGTTTTAGAGTAAACACGAAACATCCATTATGAATACAGAGCACCCTTGTCAAATTATAGATTTTTCAAACTTAGTTCTCATGCTGCAAAAGCGGTGCAGGTCAGCCAGAAACCCTCCTACAATGGTGTGGGAGTGCATAGCAATAAGGCAGCAGCAGACACAGTTTGCAAATATTAGCAGTTGTTTTTTTCTGAAAGTGGTGAAATTCTGTGGAGGTTGTGGCATCTTGTGAGTATTAGTTGTTTAGTAGCAGATTCGGTTGGCCTCTGCGGTCCGCTTCTGATCTCCTGTTTACTGTTTTGCTCATGCATACTTATAAAGTTACTCTACAGTTACAGTATGTTCAGTAAAGCCATTGTTTTTGGGTCTTCAAACATATAGTTATATAGACTTTCACCTTTATATTTCATGCTTCAGAATTTGAATTAACATCTTAAAGGGACCGTATGTATTATGCACAATTGGTGGTCTAATAAAGTCACATCTCTGACCCCATTCAGTCCAACTTTTGATGGAATCTCCCTGTCTGTGATACATGTTGCTCTTAAGCACTGATTACTGATGCTAATCACCTACTGGGGTTTAGCGAGAAACGGCACACATACAATTAAAAAGGAAATTATTACATACGGGCTCTTTAAGTAGAATATATATGGTAAAACAAGTTTGGTTTACAATTATTTCCGCATGTTACTGATTTTTTTGCTGATTTTTTTTTTTTCAATATTGAAAATTACCGGCTTCTAATGCAGTGTTGTGATTGCAAAGAATGCCCTGTCACTTGAGAAATGTACCAAACTAATTTATGGGTGCTACTTTCGTTTTAAAAGCAGAATACTGCTCTGAGTGTAATGTCATAGTGTTGCAATAACATCATACTATTACAGGAACTTTTAGACAGAAAAGGCGCTGTTACTTGTTTGTGCCAAAAGCTTCTAATTTTAGTGTGACTTGATCTAAAAACAACTCCAGGTGTGTTTTTACACACCTGGAGTTGAGGGAAGAATGTTGTAACAATTTTAAAATGTCAAAAAAGTCAAATTAATTTTTCATAATGTCTCCTTTAAGATTTTGGATACCACAATTGATATTTTTTGCATGGTGCATAAATGAATATCTTACAAACACATTTTTACACTTTTACTTTTATTAAAGCCCTAGTATGTCACTTTTGTTGCCTAAAATGGCATGTTTGAATTGTTTATTTAATCTTCCACAGACATTTGATGTAAGTCATTTCTAAGGTATTTTTTACCTCCCAAAAGTGACGTACTGTGGCTTTAAGACCCTACTAAAGACTTTCCACTAACCTGCCTGCATTATTCTATTTCTCTCTGATTTGGGGCGTCTCTCCACAATCCAGGCCACTGCACCGGTCACTGTCCCGGTGGTTCCTGAGCTGGTGGGGGTAGGCAATACTAACGGCACTGGGCCTTTAACCGAGACCAGCAATGGCATCAGTGTGTCATGGCAGTCCCCTCCGGTCAATTTCAAAGGTGTCCCGGTGAGTTAGGTCTCCTTCCAAATTTATACCTTATTTATATCTCTATTAGGGATGCACCAATACAGATACTTTTGGCGCCGCCGTTAGAGCTTGTGTCCTGGGATCGATTCCACCTCCAGGCCTGTCTGTGTGTGTAGTCTGCATGTTCTCCTTGCGTCTGCATAGGTTTCCTTCGGGTGCTTTGGTTTGCCCTACTGCTAAAATGATGTACAATAGGTATGAAAGTGATGGTATTGGTTGGGGATTTTGATTGTGCCAGTGTGTTTGGCATCTCACTTTCATCATCTCCGTGTGTGAAGAGAAAAAAGAAAAAAATTGTCAAGTGCTTAAAGTAGTACTAGAATTTAATATGCTGCTATCCAGAATATATAACTACAATATGTGTTTATAATATTTCGGGTGTTCATTTTGACAAAATTGCCAAAATGGCGGCGATGACGTAGGAGAATGACCTCTCACAGCAGCAGCAGCAGTCTTGGCTGGAAACTGTAGGAGGTTTCACTGTCATCTGAACAAGGTATAAACATATTTTCATCTCTTTTAACCTTTTATCCTTATTTGTGAGATTCAAGCAAACTAGTGTTGGACAAGTTAGCTAACTCTACTTGATATCATAAAACATGCTAACAAGGCTAATAGTTGTTTTTACATTATGCCAGTCTCACTTTGGTTGCCTTAGATTTATTTACCACAATGTACATTGTAATATTCAAAAATGCTAACACCTATTAACGGTTTAATTAGCATTTTTATCAATGATTGCATCACATGTAGTCTATGTTTTCAACTTTTTCAGCTTTTTGTTCATAAAAGTAAAATATTAATTTAATTCAAGTTATTTTGATTAGCATTTATGGATATTACAATGTACATTGTGGTAAATAAATCTAAAGCAACCAAAGTGAGACTGGCATAATGTAAAAACAACTATTAGCCTTGTTAGCATGTTTTATGATATCAAGTAGTTAGCCAACTTGTCCAACACTAATTAGCTTGAATCTCACAAATAAGGCTAAAAGGTTAAAAGAGTTGCACACTATTATGTACAAAACGGATGAAAATATGTTTATACCTTGTTCAGATGACAGTGAAACCTCCTACAGATCAGCCCAGACTGCTGTCCTCTGCTGTGAGGGATCATTCTCCTACGTCATCGCCGCCATTTTGGCTCCCCTAGCGTTTGTGAAAAGGTCCGACTTCAAAGCTGTTTTTTTAACATAATTCATCTGAACATGTCAAAATGAACACCCGAAATATTATAAACACATATTGTAGTTATATATTCTGGATAGCAGCATATTAAATTCTAGTACTACTTTAAGGTTGGTTTGTGAAATTCGCTATATAATTAAAGATAAAGTACTAGGTATCAACAATCTAAGTACAGCGGCTGAACTAAACTGGTCCAGAAAAAGAGGCATTGACACACATCTGGAACATAGCGTTGGGCCAAGAGCCAACTTTCGGAACATCCTGTAAAGCCGTTTTCAAGAGGAAAGAAGACACCTTACAAACGCATTGGGTAATTCTCTTTCCGGGTACACCCCCACTGGCCCGGAGTGAGATTGCAAGTATGTCAGCCCCCACTGGGTATGACATGTCTATATTGGTTCACATCTGACGAAGCCTAAGTTTGCTGAAAATGTTTATTCGTCAGATACAGTGGTAGCGTAAAGTAAGTAAATTTCCAGAGAAGAGCTGCACAACAAGATATAACTTTGAACATGCCTGTTGTACCCCTTTAGGTAATGGGCTACGTGTGTGAGTGCAAATTCAATATGTTTTGTGTTTCCTGAAAAACTTTGGGGGGAAAAATTACTTGGGGTATTATTTTAAGGTGAATGTCATTGACTTTTCATATTCATTCATTCATTCATTTTCAAGCCCTTTATTGTCCATTTCTGGGTCAGGGGGGTGGCAATGAGAGCTGCCACCCAATGCTCATAGCACCAGTCCCTCACTGATCCTCTGCAGGGGGTTAGTCCACAGGAAGATGGCTGCTCCGTCAGCGGTGAAACAGCCTTGGTCTTTCAGCGGGGGCTTCAGGCAACGTGGGGTTAAGTGTCTTGCCCAAGGACACAACGACAGTAGACATCAGTGGGAGCAGTTGGAGTAGGTCCCATGGTGGGAATCGAACTCACGACCTCCAGGCTCAAAGGCCACTGCTCTACCAACTGAGCGACTGAGCTACTGTCAACTTTTCATATTGTAAAGAGATAATCTAACTAAGACAAGCAGTTAGACTCCAAATTATTGTTGATAAATCAAATAGCCTGGTGGTTTCGTATCAGTAGATATGGAAAACCAAAATTTTGAGTTTGCTTTTGTACTTGAAAAAGTTGTATCGGTGCATCCCTAACCTCTATCATACCTAACAATCATTCTCATCTTCACTGATTTGGATTTTCACACACATTACACACACATTAAAACACTGTAAAACCAAAAGTGTCCTTGTTAACTATATACAACTACATACAGCCCCAATATTTTTTTTTAAATCTCTTTTCCAGGGCCCTGTGAACCATGTCCGACCCGTGAGCACCGGAGAGAAGCGTCAGCCTGCCATCAGTACGCACACAGCTGTTACCAAAAGCCATGCATTCGTCACACCAGCTACAAAAGCCACGCCAGGAACCAGGTACCGTCCAGAGCATTCATTTTTGACTGTTTACATACACCTGTTATTGCTCTACCTCTTGTACTTAGAAAAAGCTTAAAAGGTTCTTTCAATCAGACAAAAAAGTGTAAAGAAGCTAGCATGGCTTAATTAATCTAGGTGCCGTACTTTCTGAACTATAAGGCACTCCTGTTTATAAGCCGCACCACTTACTGTATATATGCAACTAAAATCAATTTTGTCCACATAAAGGCTGCACTTGAATATAAGCCACAGGTTCAGTTGTAAAGTAGCAGATAGACGACTGTTTTTAAACATGATTTAATGACAGTTTAGCCGTTAGCTTTAATTCTTGTACTCATTCACCAGTCTATGTTCACAAAAAACAAGTGTCCTATAAACCTGATGGAGTTATACTCTGACAACTCCCTCACAATAAAAATACACATATTAGCCGCATCGCTATGTAAGCCGCAGGGTTGAAAGAACTTGGAAAAAGTAGTGGCTCCTTTTTGTCTGATTAAAATAACCCTCTAAGCCTTAAGCATAAGGAGACATAATGAACGCTTTACATATGATTCAGTAGTCACAAGATTTTTATTTGGAATTTGGCACTGGAATAACACAAAAAACACACACACACAAAGTTTGATTATTCCACACAGAACTCCAAAATCGGTCTGGACAAAATGTGTATAATTTATTTATAGTTAATACATTGAAGCTAGTTTCTTTTCCCTCTCTACTGGAGTTTGACCCAATTTTCCAAAGTCTCTCAGATCTCTGCTTCAGGTCAAGTGTTAGGACTTCCTCTTACAAGGCAGTGTTTGACAGTCTTTCCTATTACAGCTGCATATTTATATAACTACTGTATCTATGTATGTATTTTCTCCAATTGTGCCCTGTGCTGTTGCCCAGGAAACCCCGCGGCGAGGCAAAGAAGTGTCGGAAAGTGTACGGCATGGAGAAGAAGGACATGTGGTGCACAGCCTGCCGCTGGAAAAAGGCCTGTCAGAGATTCACCGACTAAAGTTTAGCCTCGTGAGCTCCTCCTCATTCCAGACGACTGTGGACGCCTCCATTTACTCACGGCAAAGCTCAGATCTACAGCTTTGGCCTAACTTCACCTCCCCAAACATAACAAAAAAAACATTCAACTGGTTATCTAAAAACAAGCTACAACTATCGAGAGAATTCAATTTGCATCAGGTCTGGGACTTTTTATACCATTGAGACGAGTTTAACAATTTTACAAACATAAACAAAATATATATCTATATATTTTAAGACATTTATTATGGGGGGAGTTTTTAGGCAAGCAGCATTCAGGACGCCACATAGGATTTGTGCTTCTTGTTCATGATAGAATCCTTATGTAAGCTAATTTCTGAAGACCTCTGTAGCATCTGTGTTTTGATGGTCACTGTTTTTTAAGGGATAGCTATCTTAACCAAACGAAAAATCTGTTTTATTAAGCCCATGTTGGAGTGAGCCACTGCAGCATTACTGGAGTTCTCCTGTTTCAGCCTCCAATATTAAGAATGTGACTTTTACGACGAAACTTCCCCCTATAACACTGTGCTGAACATGTTTCTAAAATTGGAGCGGTGGAAATACTTTCATCTCCTCCTCTTTATGTCTAAGCACCTTGAAGAATTTGATCATTGCATGTTTTTTTGCCACTTTACCCACAGCCTTTGTTCTATATATAATTCTGCTTCTCACCACCACACAGATTCTCAATATCAGACTTTAGTTCAAACCATTGTAAATAAAACTGCCATGTGGATTTTTTTTTTTTTTGACAAATCATGCTACTGCAATGTGAGAAGCCTCTTCTTCGCAGCAGTTGCTTCTGGCCAAACACTAAGAAATTGTGTAGACTTACTTTGGACCCTTAATTTATATTTGAAACTAGTTAGTCGTTTTATTACATAACGTTTTATTACCTGACTATAAATATAAAGCCCCACCTTTAATATATACAACCCCCTTCCTATTTTGTTTTTTTTCTTTTGAAATTAGGAACTAGCTTTGATCAGTGATTTGATTATACTGTTTTTCTTCTGCCCCCTTTATCACAGTCGCATCCCCCGAACACAAAGAGACTTCTGTCGTCATAGTAACACCTGCTGTTCATAGCTGCAGAAAGAGCCGTTGAGATAGTATTGCAAAAGTTGAGATTAACATGAAAAAGATTTATGCCCCTATACAATATATTTAAATACATTTTACATCTTCATTTTGCGAAGATTTAAAGCGACATTACACGCAACATTTTTTACAACTGCAGCAGTGATTGAAAGCTACACACCCAGCCTGGCTTTGTCCAAAACATTGAGCCAAGCTAGAGGATATTACCTATTTTTGTGGTAGGGGAAAAAATGGTAGCACTTGGAGAAAACATACTCAGACACATGAAGAACATGCAAACTCTGTTCCGACCCGGATTTATGCTGTCATTTCGATTTGAAAAGATATTTATTTGATAATTATGGCTTTACACAACCACTAACAATGTGTTTATGTTATAATTTCAATATCTGTGACCTATTGGGGATAAAAATCTAATCTTCCCAGGTGTGTGAACTTTCAAGCACAACTGTATATAGCAGGCAGAAGCATGTCTTCTTTAACTTCTGAGAATGAGTTCCCAGAAGTCTTTCAAACTGTTGCAAATATCAGTTCAAGGCTTCCTGTTGTGTCCCATATAAGCTCAAGGCCTCATCAGGTCAAGTTCACAAAGTGCCAACGACAAGAGCGCCACAGTCAGACCCATTGTCCGGCGTTTCTCTGCGTACAATACATTCTGATTTGTTTCTTCTTGCCCAGACAGTGCTTGTATTGGATTCGATCAATCGGACAGGGCAGCTCCAGCTTCTTTTAAATCGTAATTTTATTTTTATTTTGTTCAGCTATATTCAAGGCCTTTAAAGCTTTACATTTAACAAAAACTGCAGTAAATTGGAGATTCATGCAATAAGATTTGTCATTAATGTTCTGCAAAATGAAAAATCACTTCATAAAATTTTGTGATTTGTTTTGTTTCTTTAAGCCCCATTTCTACCCCATTGGCCTTATACTCTACTCTACTCTACCCTGATGCTTGTCAACTAACCCAACTTTCAAAACACCAAAACTGGATTTGGCACAGTAATAAAATCTAGTTCCTCGCTTCAAAACTGTTAGATCATCTTGAGTTCAGCGTTTTTCAGACAGAAAAGTTAAGGACCATAAGCATCGGACGGCTCCTGATTGGTCAGTTGTCAGGGCTCACATCTGGATTTAAAAAGACAATATCACACTATACACACCAGGATTGAAGAGAGCACTAAACCATGGATTTCTGAAGCCCAAAATTGTGAATCATCAAACAATTGACGATCTGGAAGAGTTTATTTTTAAATGTTAGTCAACAGAAGCCAGAGTAAGAGTAAGACTTTGTCCACTTCCCTATAATACTTTATTAAGCTACAGAGTGAGCAATGTCCATTTATATACAGCCTAAGCCTATGGAACTATTGCAGAAACTTATACCCATGTTTTTTTCCTATCACCCCCTATAGTGTGGCATTAAATTTCCGCTACACAACATTAAAACAGTCTTCACAAAGGCCTTTAATTTGACTATCCTTGGAGCTACCCTGATCTGATCCATGGCACTGGAAGGCACAAGGTACAAGTAACTGACATTTCTCATTTCATTTTGGTTCCAACTCTTTGAAACGCTGAGCTGAGGCCGTGCTGAAGTTTGCCAGTTCTTCCCATTAAAAGTATGTGTCTCATTGCAGCAAAAGGTTCGACAATTCCACCTTTTTTACGAGTTGCACTAAAGCTTATATACAGTATATCAATATCTCTTGCCTGCAATGTGTGCTGTTCTGTGGAGAGAGACGCAGAGGTGACGCGGTATGTACGGATAGAGTCGCGGTTTCAGGGCTTTCTTGTAAATATGCAAGGAGAAGAGTGAGGCGTTTTACTATTGATTTATTGTCGTTATCTTGAAAAAGGAAAGTTTTTTCTACAATATTTTTTCTTTCTTTTTATAAGCAAGAAGCTACAGTGATATAACGTGTATGATGTAGCTTATAGAGGCAACGGGGGGTAAAGCGGTTGAATGTAAAATCTACAAAATGAAAAAAGTCTTGTTTGTTGTTTTTTTTGCTGGTTAGTAAATACGTAGTCCTTATTTTTGAAATGTAAGCCGCCACTTCATATCAATCGGCCAACCACGCAGTATTGCTTATTGTTCTTACTTGTGCAATGCATTTTCGCTCATTTTTTGTGTTGCCAAATTTGTTGTGTGCTATACAGCTCTAGGAAAAGACTACTGCAATATACAGTCCTCGCAGAAGGTTTGGGGAATTTGGCTTTGAAGAAAAATGTATAAATGAGAAAGATAGATGTTACAAAACGAGACAATACAAAACAAACAACAAAACATTTCCTAAAAATTGCAGCATTCTGTTGATCAATTATTATCTGTTCTTGGCGTAAATGATGAGGAGGGTTAAACTCCTAAGGTTTTAACAACATTGAACTGTCAGACGTGTGCAATACATTGTTTCTAGAAGAAATTACGAATATTTTTGAAAGCCAAATCTCCCTAACTATTTGTGAGGAGTTTTATCTTAAGGCCCCGTTCAGATGAAAACGTTGCAGAGACGCTGCAAAGCAATTTGATAAAACCTCCAGGCTCCGTTTTTCGAAGTGCACAGCGTCTCTACATGAAGACGGAAAACGATGTAGTTCTAGCGCCTGGCCAGTAGGGGGCAGTGGAACTTTTACAACACGACACACACGACCCCCGGCAGTATAACTACTTCCTCAACAACATCCTCCTCAGGCCACAGCAAAGACGTGAAAGAATGCATCGACATCAATTTGCATTTAACAGTAGCTACGAAAATGGAAACTCAAAATACAGCTTTGCTCGGGATTCATTTGGACATACGAAGGAGTAGAAATCTCCGTGCAACGCTCGAACACTCGTATCATTTGTTAATCCACCGCCATTGTTCACGTTTGTTCTCGGCTACTACACATGTCCAGATATACGTGTGAGGAAGTGGTCATTGTAGCCAGAGAATTCACACCTTTTTCTTCAAGGCTTGCGTTTTCACCCCTGGAAACACTGTCTTCATGTAAACGAAAGGCCAATCCGATACGTTTTACTGTCGCTGCGTCCTCTTGTAAACAGCCTTTTATAGTCTTTTGAATGTCCTCAAAATCAACTGTTTATAACCTACTCACTATATTACTTTGAAGTGGTAGTTTTTGTTCAAATCTGCTTCTTATCGTGATCATATAGCTTCGCCATGTTTATGTACAGTAGTCAAAAGAATCGCTTATGAAAATATTCTTTAACCTGACACATTCCAACACGCTGCGAACGCTTTCTCTGTCTTCCACTCATCGAGATATTATTATAGTAATACTTTTATCCAGCTTTACTGTGGTCCCACTCAAGCCTTTTTACCCAGTATATTAAGCTATGTAAAGCCCTTCAAATGTGCATTATATGAAAAAAAAGAAAAAATAGAGAGAGAGCGCCTTCTATTTCCCCAAAAGGATAGCTGCTTACTTGTGTCGAATGTGTGACTTATGTGTAAAACCAGCAGCCACGAAGCTTCCAATCAAGTGTATACACCATCATGGATCTATTACACCATGCGTTGTTATGGCAGCTCCGCTAATCTGTCTCCTTTCTATTGTGCTAAGATTTCAATTTATGAAAGAAGTTGTGTAAAACGTATTTTATTTTTCCCAACACTGTAAAACATCAAATTTGTGGTGCTCGAGGAAAGAAAAAAAAAAAGTTAAGCAAGCTTTTAACATGCATTTTACACGGCAACTTACTGTTCAGAATTGTTGTCCATCCTTCTTGATTTCTATCTTTTTTTGTCTTATGTGACGAGTGTGTGTTTTTTGTACCTAGCCTTACACTGGCTGGCTCGAGAACTGACTTTTTTTGCTTTCCTGTTTTAGAGATGATTTATTGACTCTTTCTGAATGATTCTTAATGTCCGT